TTTTGGACTCAGCAGATAATCAAAGGTACGGGTCATGGGTCCTTTGAAGTCAAGAATGCGAAATTTGCAGGGCTTGGGATTTAGGTTTCGGGGTATGGGATGCAGGACGATTCGGGGGATGGTCAGCAGTTTGAACGAGAGTGACCTTATGCAAGAAGCGCAGACTTCAACCCGAAAGGCCTTCGCCTGCAGCTTTTGGCAGAGCCCCTGCCGCAAGTATGCTTGAGGACCCCAGGCATGTGGCTGCAGGAGGTAATATAGGTCTCTCGCTGCTGTCCTAGAGGGAAGAAAGGCTGGTCATGCGAGCACCAGAGTGGCAGATAACAGCCTCAGGCATAGAGGAGGTGAGTTTTGAAATTGTTTCCACAGCTGAGGCATGACGCGGCCATCAAGGAAAAAGTCAGACAGAATGTATTCAACCTGGCTGCTTTGGTGATCCTACTATGCAATCCCCAGGCTGCTTCAGGACCCTCAAGAGCACCAAGTCCTCAATATTGGGTAAAATTTGATTTCGACAAGGTGGCTGTCTGAGTCTGAGGCAATGCCCCACACACAAGGAGGACCATGGAAGAATTGCCTGGTAGGCTCGAAGCACTGTGATCTCCCCATCCGGAGCGTTGACAAAGGCATGGTGGAGTTTCTCAACAACTGCCCGGGGAAACCCAGACCTGGAAAATTGGCGAAATAGCTTTTGGCAAGAATGATGGATGGCACTTTCCATGTTCTTTTCCATTACGCCTACATTAACCATATATATATATAGATAGATAGATATAAATAACCGTATATACTGCCATATCACAGGAAAAAACCTAGACAAAAGCTGACTCTACATATAACCCTATATATAACCTATATAGAACCCTATATAATCCTGCCTGGCTCAGGCCCAAGCTCTGCCCAAGGTGATCTATATGGCAGCATTCCTAACAATCATGCAAATTAAGAACAAGAACAATAGTCATAATAATACTTATAATAGCAATCCCCTTTTGCACGTGTACCCTGTGTACCCCATCCACGGCCGCCAAAGGGTCCCTCGCAACCTATTGTCGAAACAAACCACTGCATCCTTGGTGTGTTTAACATTTCTGGCCAGCGGCTTTTTTTCAAATTCTGGATCGTCATAGAACGGTCGACCCAGCTCTGTCTCTCCACCTCATGGCAAGCCCAAACCAAGCCAACCCAATGAGCACTAAGCCACTAAGCTTGAGGCGCTTCTTCCGCCAGTCTGCAAGGCTCATCTGCTGCGGATTCCTCCAAGTAATTATATAGGGGTAATATAGGGGTTGTACTGGGGTTCTGTTGGGATAATGGAAACAAAATGGAAACATTGCCTTTCTTTGAGGTGAGGTCGGTGATGCATGCAGATCAGGGAACTGAGAGGCAAGAAACACACATGCTGGCCTTGATGCCCACCAGTCGGGCCCATAGGAAATGAAGAGCTCCTATCAGGCAAGCAGTTGGCAGCCCTACGAAAGTCTTCAGCTTAAATTGTCACCCACGTCTACAATCGTCCCAAGGTGTGACTTCCAGTCCTCGCCAGCTTTGATGTCCCGCATTGCTTTGAAACAGCCTCCAGATCAGTCTGGAAGTTTGCGAGTTGTGAAAGTCGACATTGATTCATACTGGCAACCTGCAGCCCGCAGGTTGACCCAGCAGTCCTACTAAAGTGGCCGCTGAGACCACAACCCCTGCCCCGTAAACTTCTACGAGTATACTGCTGCGGGCGGAAAGTTCGTCGCATCGCCATGTTTGCGCTTCAAGA